TCCAACTGCCATATCACTTGGCAGGACCAGCTTCTATCTTCTAACCCTTTGTTTCTTATCCTTTCCTCTGTATCTTCCACCACAATGTAGTGGTAATAGAATACAATAGTGTAATGGAATACATTATTCCTGTTTGATAGTAGTAATATCTCTCCTGAGTCAGCTCTTTTCTAAATTATTCTTTTTGACTATTTAATTTTCACACTTCGAATATGATTGAAATTTTAACTGAACACAGTCAAGCAAATCCAGCATGAAAGACACTCTTTACAGTCACTAGGTTATTGCTAATATATTCATTACTTGTGATATTTACTGAGAATTTGCAAGGAGAATTTACCAATAGTGAATATTAGCCTTACACTTCTATTGCCATTCTTGTGAGAATATTGCTGGTTTTGAAGAGTTGAACATGAGGAAAAATTTACTTCTTTGCTCTCCTGATAGTAGCACTGGATATCCATATGCAGGAGAGGGTAGTTGTTATGGGAATAGGAAATATTCAAGGTGGAGAGAGTCAAGTTGCTTTGCTTCAGTGGTATTAACCAAAGTAAAACTGTTTTCCTTTTACCTGAATTGACTACATAATTTGTGTAGAATCTTGCTTAAAGCTCCTTTAAAATGCCTGAAAAAATGTTATAATTCCACACCATATAAGGGTCTTGCTTTGGTAAGGGGTGGTGGTGCTGCATAACACCAGATGTAGTTCTCTATGCAACCTATACAGCAATAAAAATCAAGAAATGAAACATATTTTTCTATATCTTTAGGCAGAGTACAAGGTCTAGGCAAACAAAGGGCTCTGTTCTCTGGATTATTCCTAGCTGTTCTTGTGCCTTATCCTAGGCTAAGAAGAGAAAATTAGATAAATACAACATGGTTTTACCAGAAGTTTTTTTGCACATGAGTAACCAGACATTTTTCATTGATGACAAACTTATTTTGTAGATGGTAGAGTTGGCTTAAATTTAATTTTTCTCAGTTTCTGTGGCATGACACGTAAGAAGGTATAAGCAAAGCTGAATAAGGTCAGAATAAACTGACAAAAGGCAAGGTGGGGAGCTGTGCTGGTTTTGGCTGGAATAGAGTTAATTTTCTGAGAGCAGCAAGTGTGGGGCAGTGTTTGGGGTTTGTGCTGGAAGCAGAGCTGGTAGCTCAGGGATATTTTAGCTATTGCTGAGCAGCCCTTCCACAGAGCCAAGGCCTTTCCTGTCCATCATCCCACCCCTGCAGAGAGGAGGCTGGGGGTGCACAAGGGGCTGGGAGGGGACACAGCCAGGACAGCTGACCCAGGGATATCCCACATCCCATACCTCATCCCTATGGCTTCGTGCTCAGTATGTAAAGTTGGATAATGAAGGAAGGGGGAAACATTCAGTGTGATGCCATTTGTCTTCCCAAGTCACCATCACCCATGATGGGCCCTGCTCTCCTGGCTATGGCTGAGCACTTCCTGCCCCTGGGAAGCAGTGAAGAAATTCCTTGTTTTGCACTGTTTGGGTGCACAGCTTTTGCTGTCCCTATTAAACTGTCTTTATTTCAACCCATGTAACTTTTGTTCCTCTGATCCTCTCCCTCATCCCACCTGGGGAGTGAGCAAGTGGCTGTGTGGGGGTGAGTGAGTTGCTGCTTGGGTTAAACCATGGTAGTAACAAAGGAAAAATATTATTTAGAAAAGGGAAATATGAGGCTGTCAGGGGTTAAAAGCAAAGCAGATTGAGTCTGGATACGATTCAGCTGAATACTCACACAAAGTGTTCAGTGGTCTTGATAACTGACATGAACTGTGTGGTCATAATTTAAAACATTGTATTGAAAAGAATCAGAGTGTTGCAAGGAAAGAAGTAAGTGATCATCTTTGAGACTATGAATAATAGAAGTGGACCAAAATTCAGTCCTGCAAAAGGCGGTGTACAAACAAAATGAACACCAAAATCTTCTAATGTGGATTGGAGTTCATCAGTGGAAGTTACTGAGAGGGCACTGACCCCAGGGTGACAGAAGTATTCACATGGTACATCCATGGAAAGGGCACATGGAATTATACACTGTGCTAGAACTTACTTCCAGTACAGAACAGGATGTATTCTTTCCAACACATGGTCCTGGGGAAAACTCAGCTACAATTCTGTGGATAATTTGGGTTATCTGTGTGAAACCAAGACAGGTTCAAATGCAGACAGATGCAGGGCACAGGAAATGAGAAAGCAGTAGAAATAATAGAAAATTATGAAAGGTTTCCCTGCAAATCAAAGAGTGAGAGGGGACATTTTTGCTGTCTATCAAAGCCCCAGAATAATCCTGGAGGGGGAGAGCATTTTAAACCAACAAAACTTGAATTCAACACAAATCTTGTAAGTAGGTGAAGAAGCCTAGTCACGAAAACAGATACTTCCGACCATTCAAAGAGTGAAGTTCTGGAAGATCTTTCTAATAAAACTGGAACACAGAGAACTAATGTAGCTGGTAAAAATGGTATGCATCACTGCCTTTAAAAAGATTCGTGTATGATAATGATGTGTTGTACTGGCTCTAATAACTGGGAACTAACAGCATGAAGTTCAGGCTTCTGGTTCTCCAGAATATTTTTTCTATTATTCTGAGCATGGAGGGGAGTCTACATTCAGCTTACAGGTTTTAGATCTGCTCAGGGGCTCAATAACTGTTCTCATCAGAAAGCAGGATGTAACTCTGGAACAGAAACCCCATAAGCTTGTCAGGCAGCGCCTGGGTGCTCTGTATACACTATTTTCATATATTTATTTATTAACTAATACACTAAGTAACTTTTTTCTATGATTTCCAGAGTGATGAAAAATGGCTTTAAACCTCTACTTCCAAAATTCATGTTTTATTCCAAGCTCATCATAAACATGCATGGATATAAAATGGCAATACTTTTTTACTGTTCATTTTTATAATTTTAAGAGGCAGCTGTGACATTTTACACAATACACTAAATAGATTAGTTTATAATATTCCTACATCTTCCTATTCATACACAACTTACTTATTCAGTTCTCTATGAATTGATTGTTCTTCTTGAGCAATTACACCATTTCAAGAAACAAATCCACTTTTTCTTGTTATACTTTTCATTAGCTTTTTTTTATTATTATTATTATATGCTGAGTCCAATATTGTGGGAAATGGTGACTTTTATAGCTACTAGTGGGAATAAGAAAAAACAGCTTAATTTTGCATTAAATCCTGTTAGATACAATTTCAAACAGGAGATATTTCCCCATATTGTTTAGGTACTTGGGAAAATGCCATTCTGAATAATATTTTGTAAGTACTATTGGAAATTGGTTATTGTTTCAAGAGCAATGGACTCTTCTGAACTAGATGGTTGTGCCAAGCAAAATATATTAAGAGGACTGAAAGATTATGTTAGCAACATTCATAATGGGGAAAACCACCTCAGAACAAAACAGAACCATGCAAAGAATAAATATAATGGCCTAATTGAAATCCATAAATATTTCATGTGCTCTTTTTTTTATTAGCTGTTAATAATGGCTGCATTGCAGAAATGCTTTCTGGATAGAAAGAGAACTAAGTGCCTTGAAGGCTTTTCTGCAATAATTTACTATTGAACTTTGTTGATTTTGTTCAAAAACTGATCACAGTTTTGTAGCATGGGGAAAAAAATAAACGTGGTAATAGTTCATGGAAACTGCTAACTCAGAGAGCCCAATTAGAAGTCTTCAAAGGCAGGAGTGTGGGTATCTTTTTACCTTAGGGTGTCTGGACAAGATTAACTTTTCATACTTTCACTCTGGAGTATTTCTCAGCGAGTTTCCTCAAGGTTTGCAGCCCCACCTGAGCATGGTTGAGACTTTGCCTGGGGGGAGGTGAGGGGGGCTCTTTCCCACTTGTATGCTTGCACAGCATGACCTGTGGTAAAGGTCTGAAATTTTCTATCAGTACAAGGAAATGGCAGCTATGGCTCCACAACACACAAATTGTACACGATCTCTCCCACTCCCCACACAAACAATGGAATGTTGTAAACCACACCTCACCACGCTTTGCCAAGGAATAGGAAATGGTAATCTCATCTTAAATGCAAGATGCAGTCACCCTTTCAAGCACTTTACATGCATTTAAGACATTTCCCCCCTACTAGGAAAACAATATGAGTATCTCCATGTGCCCTGAACATACAGGGCAGAACATACATGTTTTGACTTGTTATGAAACCCAGAAAACCAATGTGAGTCTATTAGGGCACAATCACTTCCTAATAAAATATATTGGGAACTTCCAGGGAAGTTCCTCAAAATTAAGCACTCATTGCCTAGATAGGCAGCAACATCCATCCCATAAGTAACATTAAAAACATTTCTACATTAATGTACAAATATCTGCTCTCTGAGAGTGCTGTGTTCTCTCTGCTTCAAGACCCAAAATTATTTTAACTGAAATGCACTCACATAATTCTAATTAAATACAGTCTACATTGGAAAATTACACTGAAATGCATAAAGAGCAAAGAAACACCACATTTTAGGCAAACTTTTCCATTGCCTTCCACAAACTTTATAAGATATACTTTCTTATGACACATTATCTAGGTAGGGAGTAGAACCTCGTAGTAAAAGGAACACGCTAAAAAAAAGTTTCAGACAGTAAAGGTGATGGAATAAGTATAGAGTATGAGAGACATCACCATTTAAAACAGGCAGGTGGGCAAAGCGACAACTATAAACAAAACCAAAAGCGTGGGCATCCATCTCACTCGCGATGCCCATTCATAAGCGCGGGTTCGAAGCTACCTGCCATGTGCTTAAAGCCCGGCTGGCGATGTGCTAGACGCGAGCCTCCCGCTCTGCCGGTGCGGACGGCAGGACAAAGGCGGGCAGCGCACCCGCACCCGCAGCCCGCGGGGAGGCTCCGCGCCCGCGGCTCCCGCACGGAGCGGGGCCGGACCCGCCCGGGGCCGCCGCGGCGCCGGGAGAGGCGCGGCTCGGTACCGCGGACAGCTCCGCACTCACCGTCCTCATTCTCGTCGAAGACGGGCGCCCTGTGGGAGTGGCCGCCCCCCATGTTATTCCGCGGCCGGCTCCGCATCCCCCGCCGCCAGCATCCCCCCGAGCGGGGCACTGCCCGCCCGCCGCCTGCCCGCCCGGCCCGCCCGGCCCGGCCCGGCCGGGGGAGCTCCGCAGGGCTAGCAGTCACCCTGCGACATGGAAGCGATCCGTCTGCCCCTGGCAGAGACCGCTGCTGCCTGGCAGAGACCGACTTGGCCCTTCTCTCATCGCGGAGGGGCAGGGAGGGAGGGAGGGACGGAGTTAGGGGAGGAGGGAGGGATGGAGGGGGAGGGAGGAGGAGGCGGAGGTCCTGCTGCCGGTGGCTTTTGGTAAGCGGTAAAAGCTGGATCTACCTGGATCCTCGCGGATCCTCCCTCCTCAGCTTTCCCTCCTCCCAGACCTCCACTGGGGAGCGCGGAGCGCCCGCTCCTGCCCCGGCCCCGCGCCCTGCCCTGCCCTGCCCTGCCCGGCCCCCGGCGGCGGTGTCTGATGGGCAGTGGGTGCAGAGCCGCTCCTGCCGCCCGGCCGCGCTGGCAGCACGGGGGCCATCGCTCCCGGGGCGCGGCAGAGGCGGGAGGACGAGCACTGCCCTGGTTCCAGATGGTTTTGTTTTGCCTCCCGACTGCGAGGGGGCGTTCATCGCCTGCAGCCCGGAGGGACGCGGCCGGCCGACCGAAGTTCGCTGAGTTTACGAAGCGGCAAAAAGAACCAAAGGGAGCTGCTCCCTTCCCTCCCGCTCCCTCCCGCTCCCCCGTTCCCCGGGCGGAGCGGCCCCGGGAGCGCGGCCCCGCAGCGCCACCTGCCGGCCGCGCCGGGCAGCCCCGACCCGGGGCGGCTGCGGGCACCGGGAGGGAGCGGCTCCTGCGGGGCGGGGGGGACGGCAGAGGGACAGGTGAATGTGTGTGAGTGTAAACGTGTGTGTGTGTGTGTGTGTGTGTGTGTGTGGAGAGGGACAGGTGAATGTGCGTGTGTGTGTGTGTGAGTGAGTGAGTGTGTGTGTGTGAGCGTGTGTGTGTGTGCGTGTGTGTGTGAGTGTGAGTGTGAGAGTGTGTGTATGTGTGTGTGTGAGTGTGCAGAGGGACAGGTGAATGTGTGTGTGTATGTGTGTGTGTGCAGAGGGGGACAGGTGAATGTGTGTGTGTGGGTGGGGGTGTGTGTGTGTGAGTGTGAGAGTGTGTGTGTGTGAGTGTGCAGAGGGACAGGGTGAATGTGTGTGCGTGTGTGTGTGAGTGTGCAGAGGGACAGGTGAATGTGCTTGTGTGTGTGTGTGAGTGAGTGTGCAGAGGGACAGGTGAATGTGTGTGTGTGTGGAGAGGGACAGAGTGAATGTGTGTGTGTGTGTGTGTATGTGGAGAGGGACAGGTGAATGTGTGTGTGTGTGTGTGTGGAGAGGGACAGGGTGAATGTATGTGTGTATGCATGTGTGTGAGTGTGAGAGTGTGGAGATGGACAGGGTAAAGATATGTGTATATACACATGTGTGTGTGTTAGTGTGGACAGGGACAGGGTGAATGTGTGTGTGTGTATGCACATGTGTGTGTGAGTATGGAGAGGGACAGGGTGAATGCGTGTGAGTGAGTGTGGAGAGGGACAGGGTCTATGTGTGTGTGTATGCACATCTGTGTGTGAGCACGGAGGGGGACAGGTGAATGTGTGTGTATAAACGTGTGTGTGAGTGTGGAGAGGGACAGGGTGAATGAATGTGTGTGTATGTGTGTGAGTGTGTGTGTGCATGTATGCATGTGTGTGAGTGTGCAGAGGGACAGGGTGAATATGTGTGCATGTATGCACATGTGTGAGTGCATGTGAGTGTGGAGAGGGACAGGGTAAAGATGTGTGTGTACACATGTGAGTGGGTGTGAGTGTGGAGATGGACACAGTATATATGTGTGCACGTGTACACATGTGTGTGTACAGAGATGGACACGGCAAATATGTGTGCATGTATATACATGTGTGTGTGTGTGGAGATGGACAGGGTAAATATGTGTGCATGTATACACGTGTGTGTGTGTGTGTGTGTGTGTGTGTGTGGAGATGGAGATGGACACAGGTAAACAGGTGTGCATGCATACACATATGTGTGAGATGGAGGTGGACATGGGTAAATATGTGTCCATGTAAATGCATACACGTGTGTGTCTGGAAATCTCTCCCCTCTAAAAGTGCATTAGCTAAAACTGCCAGCACTGGAAAGGGATTACACGGATCACCTGCCATGTAGCAAACAATGAGAGCTTTCTAGGCTTGCTGTTGATATTTATAGACAGAAATAGCTGTATCGCTCCCTTACAAAAATTCTACCGTTAGCAACCTCTGAGTGAAGTAGAAACAATTGTGTTCAGCACTTCCTCCAAAGGGAAACAGATAAAAAAACTAAATATCTATATTAATGCTGTATCCAGGTCAAAGCCTTTGCAGTTGCTCCAGAGGAAACCTGCAGACAGAAAAGAAAATCAAATGAAAGTTGCATTTTTGCTTCTTCACTGTTACATGGGGAGAAGAGGGAGAAGGAAGAGAAGGCAGAAACAGGGTACATGTATTTCCATATAGAGGCAGAAAGGCTTTACCATTCTCCTATAATATTTATCACCCTTCTTTCAGTATAGCTGTTTAGAAAAGCCCAGGAGCAAATACTACAAAGCAGAAGAACTTTCAGTCTCTTTGTATATGACTTTTACCTGCCGTAGTTACTCTCATGACCTGTCTTTGAACCCTATGTAATGCTGCTGTAACCTCTCTGGGAAAGGCTGATTAGACTTAAATGAAGTGAGTAAGATCCTGAGCTGTGTGGCTGACAACTCAGAGCTTACAGCCTCTACAAACCCAGAAAATTGATAAATTCAGACATGGTGATATTTTTTCCATAAGTAGACATGGACAGATTGTATCACCTGCTGACGTCCTTTACTTAAATTATTTGGGTTATCATTACTTCCATGTGAAAACATTTGCAAAATAGGGAAGCTTTCAAAACTTTGACCAGTGCTTATTCTTCTAAAATGGAGTCTGGAAAGCATGACTTACTCTTTGTCATTCTTTTGTTTATTACTCACCCATTCAAAGATTTAGTCATCCAATCAGGAGCAGAAATAACGTCATGTTACTGAGTTTGTGTTCCTTCAGCCAGAAGACAGCAATAATACTCAGAAATCACAGAGCTTCAGCTCTCTTTTGGGTTACCTAACCAACGCGGTGCTTGATGTTAATCCATTTTCTTTAGCAGGAACAAGGAGGACTGCACTCAGGTTTCAGCTGACAAGAGTTACCTTCTGCCTGAGCTAAGGGCTTACATCCAGTCAATCTAACTGCTTCAATTCACGTGGAAGTGTTTCAAAGTGGCCTTCCAAGTAACGTGAGGAACTGGTTTGCCCCCAGGCTGATCATTTTACACAGGAGAAGCTCATCCATAGAACATAGATATGAGGGATGAGCAGGAGCAGTTTGGTATCCCACTGCATGCAGAAAATACAAATTCATTGAAAACTACTCAAAACTGCCTCCAAGAGTTGTTCCATTTCTTTTTTGTGCCTGACTTCCTTCACATAGACCATAAGACTAACAAGTTTCCTGAGATTACTTTCTTGATTTCATATGACAAGGCCCATCATGAACCACAGCAGTTCCAACAATTAACAGAACAATGAGTTGTATCTATCCATTAATTAACCACTCCAAATAGACTGGTGAATCATTTTGACTCCTTTTTGACAGCTTTGCAATAAATCTGCCCTTGATTTGTGCAGGTTTATGTTTAAACGTCAGCATAGCTAAGATGTTAAGACAAATGGCATTCTGTGTTCATATGAAATGTGAAAAATTAACATTTAGTAATAAAGTATTAATGAGATATTATTTTTAATTGATAACATTATATTCCTCTATAATGCTTGCACTTGAGTAGTGCCAGACATTATCCTTCACAGTAATTTTCTGTTGAAATAGACAAAAAAAAAAAAGATGATCTGACAAGAATTGTTTGGTTTGCTGTTCTGAAAGCAATGTAATGTATTCTTTGCATCAGTGTCTGTGCTCTGAACTAAGATGTGTTTGTATGATACTCATCATCTTCCTGGGAGCATCAGTGTTTCTGCAAGTAAATCAGAAGTTGTTTATAATGGTGTCCAATGGTGCTAAGCTTGGATGTGTGCTCAGAGCCCAGCCAAGCCTCAAGGAAACCAGTGGCAGTTTCCAGTGCCTTTGACATGAGTAATGTCCAGCCTTGGACACATGGGCTGCTTATTCACATGGTCCTGGGCTCCCCTTTGTCCTTTGCAACCCTGAATGCATGCTAAACTCTGAACAGAGGTATAACTCCAGCATCTTTTTTCTTAAAAATACTCAGAACAATCTGAATTCCATTGCGTCTGCTTCAAATTTAGCAACAACTCTTCAAGAACAATTACTCATATGTTTTTCCAATTGCTTTTGTCAACCAGAAATAAGTCTGAAATTCTTTATCATAACATCATGCATATCAGTACAGCTCTCTGAAGCCTGAGAATTCTCAGAACAATTAATGTTCTTCTGGGACAGAGATTTCTAAGCTAAAAGCAGTTTCTAAGTCTTGCAATACCAAAACCAAATCAAACTTCTCATGCTTATACTTTCCCTGAAAAGACAGTCAGGTTTTGCTTGAGATAAACAAAGTTCTAAGCTTAAAAACACATTTTATTTTTAGCAGGTATCTGCTGCATAGCCTATGCAGAAAACACAGCAAGGAAAAAGGACAGTCAAATAGAGATCTTTTCTTCCCTCTCTTTTCTTTCTCCCTTCCTCCTGCAATCAGCATGAACATCATTTTGAGATATGGTTTTACATTTTCATTTAAGGCCTATGTTGTCTGGCTTAGATTAACAGTGATTTTTTTTCAGATCTCCATGCAGCGTTAGCTATAAAGAAATCAAATATGATTACAATCCTTTGCATTATAAAACTTCCCTCAGGGAATTCAGCGATTTAAAGCCAGTAATTCTATGATTACAGCTTTTGTATTAAAATGCTTCTGATGAGACTTACGGGGTGAGGGTGACCTTACAA